CCACATCATTTAAAATAAATACAATATATAAGCAAATGTCACCTAGTACCTCAAACTTCTACAACAGCATTCTGTTAGTGACACTGATAGAAGTTTGACTCCATAGATATTTTAGAACTATTTTTTAAAGGTCGAGGACTAAACAGTCAATCTTTTAAACTTTGGAACTATATGGAAACCTAAACTTACCAAAAGTGTATTTTAACCTATATTTTATTTCTAAAGAAATGCAACAAACCTTTTACATCTCGAAGGCAATTAATTTGTTGCCTTTTCAATGGTTAAATTCTTTTTCGTGCTTGAAAATTGCATGAATTCCAACCTATCACACCTCGAAAGCCCATTCAACGTAAGGGCTTACGCATTTCAAACCTCAAAGACGTAAGCACAGAGGCTTATGCTTCTATTTTTAGAGGCGTACACCTATTTTTTATTTATTGTATGCATAAGTGTCAAGGCCCTATACATCTACCTCGCCCCAAGGCGCACACCTCTTTCTATTTTTAAAACTTCGGGTGTAACAACCCGTATTTTCTAATACAATCATTCTGACAAAATGCGGAAACTTAACTTTCAAGAAACTTTAAGAACTAAAATTATTCAGCAGAAGCAATTTCTTTACAGAATTTTTCTAAACTAATTTAACCAAATAGGAAGATGACTTTCAAACTCATGCCAGTATGCTAAACTTCACCTTCTACCAGAAGGATCATTCAATCCTTAATCTAAAAAACATTTAGAAAACAGAAAAAATGAGTACAAAAATACTCAATAAGGAATTTCCATATCGAATTTCAGAATTCATTTTCCTTTAAAAACATTTGTAAACAAAAATACGAACAGATTAAAACTTATAAAGTCCTATAAAATATTTAATACAATTTTCAAAACTTTCAAAACAAACTAGATTTTCAGAAACAAAGTCTTCAAATAAGATAAAATTTCCAGTCAATCAAAACAAACTTTCATTCTTCCAAAACAAACTTTCATTCAAAAAAGARCTTTTAATAATTCAAAACAATCTTCCATTCATTCGAAACAAACTTTCATTCAATCAAACTTTCTTTCAATCAAAACTTTCAAAATTCCTTCTAAAACATTTGGTACAACTTTCAAACTTTCGAATAGCTAAATCATTCAACATTCGAAACAATCTTACATTCATTCATACTTTCAAAATCAGAGTGGAAGGTTGCATTATTTGGGTAGCCTACAGAACATATGTGGTTACCTGTCGGTAACACCAATCAATCAGAAGCTTCTATCAGAGTTGTCGAATTAATATCGACCAGAACAGAGTTGTCAAAATAATATCGACCAGAACAAACAGAACAGTTACTTAAGTGTGAGGCCATGTGAGTGAATAACACACATGAATCTTCATTCCCAAGGAATGCCAAACCACAAAAGTGTCTTCCAGCCAAACAGAAATCCATCAATTCCAAATTAGGCTACTACCCCAAATAAGCAAAATGTTCCTCAAAACAAAATCATGGCATATCCGGATAGCCGTATCAAATCAATCAAAATATCTTTCAAATAAAATACAACACAAATACTTACTTTCAATATTAAATTAATTCAAAACATTGAACTAATTTAAAACAAATTTTATCAATCCTCCAAAACATGATTTCAAATATTTCACAAATAAACAAAATATCAATTTCAAACCTTTAAATCAATCGAAACAAAACTTTATCAAATCATATAAGAATATTTCAAATACTTTGCAAATAAACATAATATCAATTGCCAAATTATTTTTCAAATCCATAATAAAACTTGAATTTCATATGCAAGATATCAATTTCAAATCGTCATATCAAATCCAAAATACATTTTAGTTTTGGAAGGGATATGGCAAAACACTTACAATACTTTTCGAAAAGATATGGGAAATTACCTACAACACTTTTCGAAGGGATACGGTAAATCACTGACCTCTTTCAAAAATCCTACGAATCTAATTAACTTCTTCCTTGGTAGTTGTTAACTTAGAGACCTAGAAACAACCAATATCCAAAATCATTTCTTAAATCCTATCCAAGGATTTAAAATTCAACCAATTACTAACCAAATCTTATCTACCCAATTTTTCCATTCAAAACATTTTTTATGCAAAATAATTAGGAAAGTATAGATTTGAGGCTACAAAACCAGATCTGAAAACTGGGTTAAAAAGCCTCTAAAATCAACAATAACCTTTAAAATTACAAGAATTGGTATAAATTAATACGAACAAAATTTACAAAAAGTTTCTCAACAAAACAAGTTTAAAAGCCTTATAATCAATTGAAAATTCGGGGATTTTAAATCTGGAAAATTTTATGTTTTATAAAATAAACTTCCAAGAATTTTCCATAAAACAATTAACAATTTACTGATTTTTCTGAAAAATCAGATCTGAAAACTGTATAGAAAACTTTTAAAACTTGGTAAAAACATATAATTTTTCATGTAAAAATCATAACAATCAAATTATAATTTATAGGATACAAATAGGTAAACTTTTTATGCAAAAAGAGTATCAAAATAGCCTAAAAACAGTCTCATAAACAAAAAGATTCAAACCAAAAATTCTGGAAAATTTTTAGGGTAAAAAGTCCTTAAAATCTTTTATTCTAAAAAAACAAAGACCTCAAAACTTTTCCCAATAAACTGAATCAAAGAACTACAAATCAAGAAAAATAAAACTAAAACAACGAGGAAGAAAAACTTACCGATATTTGAGAGAAAATACCAAAACTCTTCTTTTCTTTTCTTTTTCTCTTTGAGAGAAAACTAGGTCTAGCAGTTTAGGAAAAATAAAACCTAGGGTTTAAAGGCTTTTATAACAAACCCCAATTAATCCTTTTTTAAAAAGGATTAACATAAAAAGATAAAGATTTAATAAAACTCTTTCTTTTTATTTTTTAAATTCTAAGAACAAATTATCTTTTAAAAATAATTTTTAAAACAAAAAGGTTTATCTTTGAAAAAACAAAAGAAAACAACTAAAAAATAATAATAATTTAAATGTATATATTTATATATTTTTTTCGGTTGTCACATTGGGAGTAGTCCCACAGGGGACAAAGCCAAGTATTTGGCTTGTTGATAGATCACGTATTCCCTGAAAAGCCTACGAACCCGATTCTGCGATCATTTCCAATACACTTCACTGCTGACCACTGAAGTGTCTTTAAAAATTCCCCATGGCCACCAATTGGGGAGCAATGGAACTCCAGCAGGAGTAAAGGAATGGAAGGGGACTGGGTGAAAGGACCAACCGCCATCTATAGTACAAATTACCCTTCCAAAGAGTATACTTGTCAAACATTGTCGTGCTCCC